TTGCACAAGCATGAGCATGTGCAAACTTACGTTTATGCTGCTGTGCCGCTGCTGCTCACCATGTGTAAATAGGTATAGCTAACTACGTAGGCAAGAGGGAAAGGTTTATATTGCTCTTTTCAAAGAAGTTCTCAAGAGCGATCAGCTAGCCACAAGTGGCCATGCGTTGGAAGAACCACTTTGATGTCCACAGACAGATTCTGTGAAGTGGCACTAGCGTCTATCGCGACACAACCAACAAAGTTTGCTTGAAGACAATCATGAATTTGCAGTAACGCGGGTGAAAAGCAGAGGCACAGGAGAAAAGCTGCAATCATGGCGTAAAAGGGCCTTTTGAAACAGTTACTGCCCGGATTTTTGAGCCAAAGTAGACCCTCATGTTCCTGCTATCCGTTGAAATCAATGAAAGGCCTGAGATAGCTGGACTGCAGCTGCACTTCACCCTGCAATGTTATGTAGGAGCTGCAGCTCCTCTCTAAAGGCTGTTCAGCATCAGTCTAGCTTGTGACAAGCTGCACAAACAGCAGCAGTTCCAGCGACAGCAACAAATACACCAACGGAGGAGCTGCAAAAGCGTCGTGGGGCTCACGGACATTGTAATGTGCTGCGAAAAACATAGCATAGCACAACAGGGGAACTCGGGGGTGTTGCATGCATCTACGGAGCAAATGGGAAATATAAAAGCAAAAAAATGGAAGGGGGTTTTCAGACGTAGGTAACCAGCAGACAAGTACAAAGTGCGCATTTCCAATATTAGTAACCTTTGCGAGAGGACTAGCAGGGACTCGGCACGGTGACTCAGCAAGGATCCAGAGTATGCCAGGGGTCCCAGTTTGCTTGTGCAAAGTCAAGCGTGCCTCTTGCTGATTTTAAGTGTTCAATTTGCTCAGTCGGTAACCCCAAGGGGGCCCACAGAGACACAGTGTGACAAAGGGAGGCAAAAGGCTTGCCTGTTCTGTAGGCTGATAAGGGTGAGCCACCAGGGTCAAATGCTTCTTAAACTCACCAAAACTCTCCTTAGTGCGGATTTCAGTGATGGTGAAGCCCGCAGTAACTAATAGCGAGGGAAGCCAGAGGCGCTGCAGGCAGGAGAAGGGAGACATGTTGTTTGCTGTTGTTGGCCACGCGCTCTCGCTGCTGTTGCTGCTGCCACTTTGTCACTGACAGACAGTTGCACATGGGGATCCTTTATTTTTTTGAAATGAAGCAATTGCAATTAATGGGAACAAAAATAAACACGGTGAACAGGTACGGACAGATGCAGGGACGAGGCTCGATCCGACGACAGACGACCTCATGCGAGCTGGTGGGTCAGCAATTCCCGCTTCGAAGACACACACCACTGAATCAATAAGATATTAGTGTGTCGTTAGTGCTTCATGTAATGGTTTAATCCAGTTTGCATGCCACAGAGTTTGTGGCTGCCTACCTAGCATGGCAGCCCCTGGGCGACCGGACCAGTTCTGCTGCGCCAGTGGCCCTCAGTAGCAGCAGCTCGGCCAGCAACAGCAGCGTATCATCCCTTAAGCTGGGTAAAAACCAAAATAAAATACCTGGGCACATGTATGTGTAGAAAATTTTGACAAAACACCGTTGACGAATGGGCCACATCACACTTACGTGCTGATAGGGTCTCAGGGCTTCATCACGGGATCTGCATTTAACCACCGGTTAAGCAATGATAATTTCAAAGAGATTACCACGTTTTCCATGTAATGTGTACCGAAACCATAACCAATGGAGCGGTCTATGCCGAATCAGCGGGAATTGAAGACCTGATCAGTTGAATTCTAGTTGGGTGTAGTGGGACAACTTTTAGACAGCATAGCATCGGTGGATGCCTCCACAGCTGTGGAACCTTGCTATATGAATTAATCTGACTGTTCAGGACCTCTTAATATTTGGCAGTCGGTAATGCATTTTCTATTGGGCACCCGAGAGCAGCCCTTCGACTCGTGCATATTTGCAATTTGTTCATAGCAACATTATGCACTTAGCCTTAAGCCCCAATGCTTTTTCCGTACTTCACTTGACGTAATAATGCTCACGCAACTGTAAGTGTTGTGCCTCAAGTGGTGCTTCGAGTTCCCCGAAGTCGTACATGGACTGAAGCTGCGCTTGGCCTAAGGGACTAAGGGTCACCTCTCACAAATGCCTTGCCCTACAAAGGTCTAACACTTTCGTGGGCTTATTCTCTTTGTCGGCTGTTGCCTCTCCCTCGCATCTACGGTCCTGGGTACTGGGGTCGGAAACTGCAGTATTCACCACACCGAAACCTGTCTGCATTCTCTAACCCGTTGATATGGAATGCACTGCAAAAGAAGAGGGGTCTACGTAAAACAGCCACTGCATCTCCTGATGACAGCCTCCATGCCTCTTAATAGCAACGCTTCGGAGCAACAGTGACATGCTCCTAGCGCAGTCTGGGCCCAGCAAATGAAGACCAGCACACCGGCTAAGCATGCTAAATAATAACTTTGAATAAACAGCAAAAGAGGCTAATTAGATCTTACGGATTACTGTGAAAGGATGTGAATTGTTGCAGAATGCCGTGCGACCTCCAGCAGCAGTGCATATCCTGACCCCGAGCTTTGCGCCAAGATTGGTAGTGGTTTTGGGGCCGACAGCGCTAGAGCGGTTTTGACTTGGGCCAAGGAGCCCAAGTCCAAAGCAAGCAAAAGCAAAACAACCTACTTGCAGACACCAGAGTTCATAGAGTTAGCAAGCTCAGCTAGTGGGAAGGTGTCAGCGGCGAAGTGCGAGAGATGCCTTGAAAGCCTGCTGCCTGCGCTCCGGAGAAGAGATTGCACCCTTCGCAATCTGCATCCTGCTAGTCAACGACGTTCGCGAAACGTCGTTGACTAGCAGGATGCTGAATTTATGCTGGCGCATGAGCTTGCTTGGGACAGTCAAATACGTCAGGTTCGCAAGCAGAGGACGGTCTAATGCTCTTCCGGTAAGCGGAAAATCAAGTATGGCTGGCAGACAGCATTTCAAGTTTTTCCATTCGAGGAGTGTTTAGAAGCAGTGCCAGGATTTGCTGCCGTGTTTCCCTGACAAAAATGGACAAATAGCATATTTTTGAATATTGGCTCCCGACGTGGACAAAGCAGGCCCCTGGCATATGGAGTGCACTGCCTAGCCGATCTACTGCAAGGCGCATATGATACATGAAAAGCTATGTGGCCGAGAAACGCTCGGATGTACGACCCGGGACCGTATTTGCTGTTGCCGTATCTTAGGTATCACTGATGCCCTTAACTTGATCCTGGCAGTGTGTAAACTCCTTGAGGACCCCACAGGAATTCAGCGTTTTTTGCCTTTTTGGTCATAACTCGATACGGTTTCGTGTTTTAAGTTGTCCTCTTCCCTCTTAGCAAAACTGCATTTACATCTTTGGCCTCTCACACGCGATGGCTCTCTGTAGATCGTCGGCACTACTCCCTATCATTCAGTCACTTGCCGTACGCTATGTGTACGCATGCCCATCCCAATGCGGCGTTGCTTGAGCTCAGGAATAAGCTCGAAAGCGGATAGCTTGAAACTTTACTAGGCATGCGCTGTGTCGATTCGCCTCAGTGCGCACATTTGGAATGTTGTCGGCCGACGATCATGCTGTAGGCTTTGTTGGGACGTCAAACCCCGAGAAATCCAAGCGTCCCAGTCTCCGTTCTAGATAAGCTGGAGCTAAACAGAAAATGAGGTAGAAGCACTCCCCCAGACCATACATTTGTCTGGAAACCCTCCTGTGCGAACTTCCTTCTTCATCCGTTGGTTTGTGCCTTCGGCAGTGCGTAGCTCTGAAGTTCAGTTCGTAGGAGTGGTCACGAGGTCTTCCCGAAGTTCGAGGAAACTCTCAATCTAATAGTTTTAGCCAGGGTTGTTCGCGCCTCCTCTGGAATTCTCCAGGCCTCTTGACCAAGCCAGAATACACTGAAGTCAGGGCCACCCGAGAGAAACCCCCACGCAGATGCCAGCGGGAGTAGAGTATATTTTCAGTGGCTTTCGTGGGAAGAACATGCCCTTACCAGCCTCTAGAAGCCCCGCTGATTTCGGTCGTGTCCAATCCAGCTCAAGCACTAAACTCTGCTTACGAGAGGTCAACGCAGACACGCAGTGAGAAACGGGTCGATACCAAATCCCACAAAACAGCACCACAACCATCAGCGGAAGCTCAAGTAACAGCAAAATCCCTAACAGCCATTGCAGCAGAACACAGTGCACTCGCTATGCGACTACGTGTGTGACAGGAACAAAAAGTGTAAAACGGCCTCTCGAACTGGCAAAGAAGACAAAAGTAACAGACTCCTGTGCAGTTCAAAAGGGACCCAGGAGAGGGCCCTTCAGGCCCCCTGCTGCTTGTTCCCCTACGTTTGTGGTGTTCTGGACAAAAGAAGAACCCTCTGGTGCCCCATGCTGAGTCCCAGGACCGTCGGTGGCCACCTGCAGAGACTCTGCCCATCTCTCAAGCCATATCTTCTCTCTCTGCAGAGATTTTACACGGGTCACGCCGCTGCAGCGCAGCTGCAGCTGCTAGTGCAGCAGCAACAGCGGCTCTGGGCCCCACCCCCAGTCGTGAGCTGTGTAGCGGGGCCTGTTTCCTCACCAAAGAGCTCGCGCGAAGGCAGGCTGCACTCTCTCCTAAGGACGAGAAGCTTGCCTGTGCCCTCAACATCCGCTGCAGCTTCTGCAACAGTAGCAACAACAGAAGCTGCAGCGGGGGACAGTCCCCGTTACGGGAACTACAGCAAAACCAACTGCAGGTGGTGCGGGGGGCTGCCCAAGGTGTCAGCCGCTGCGTGTGAGCCCTGTGAGGGGTCTCTATGAGTGAAGGCACCCTAGGAACTCTCAGGAGGCAGTTTTCTGTCTCTGTCCCCCCAAGGGGTCTCATCACGAAAATCAATGAAGCACCACCTGCAGCCAATTCACTAGCAAGTGCAGCTGCTGCACCTGCTGCTGCTGGTAACAGTTCTAAACGCCTGTTTGGCTTCGTGGAAAGTCTACTGGGCTGTGTCCGTGTCCCCATCTGTTTCCGTCGCATCCCCCTCTTCCTCCTCCTCGGGATCGCTCACTGCTTCCGATCCCACCCGGCGCTGCCAGTTCCACGCCTCGCTGCCCTGCGACGCCCTCTGTGCCTTCAGGGCCTGGAACTCTGCAGAAAGGCCAGCCCCACGCCTTACAGCCCGGAGGTTTAGCCGCAAGGTTAGCCTCATTGTGAAATGGCTTTTGCAAAAAGGCCACGCAGGCGAGGAGAGAAAAAGATAAACCAGAAAAGGAAGACAGGGCCAAGTGACGAGGACCCCACTATGCAAAGCAAAGGCAGCAACTGAAGATAGGCCGATGCAGCAAACAGGTCATGACAACTGGAATATGCATAAGGCTCGAAACCAAATTTAGATATGAACAGCCGCGCAAAGAGGCAGCAAAGCAACAGCAACAAGTGCAGGCCACAAAAATAGCTCGCAGGGAACAAGAGATGTATTAAAGCGAAGACTGGTGGGAAAATGGGAGAATTTGGTTCGGCTGCAAGGCACAAGCAAATGAGCCTTCAACGAGTATAGATAGAACAGGAATAAAAGGAACACAGAAAGGATATGAGCCTCCAAAGAATATGAATAGAGTAAGAATAAAAGGAAACACGAAGGGCCCTGGAGGAATAGCGCCGAGACAAGAAAAACGGAACCAACAAAAATGCCATCCTGTGCAAACAAAATGCAACGCCACAGAAATGAACTATCCCTCCCACCTGGTGAGGCCATGAGCTCCTGCACAGCAGCATAAGTTGCGTCTTTCTTGTTGTACTCCTCGAGGGTCATTTGGTTTTGGCAGTAGCGGATGGGGGGAGGGTTTACTGCGGCGTTTACAGAGGCGCATGCGCAAGCCCCAAGGATGCATGCAGCCTTTGTCTCAGATATTTTCGGAGTTTTGACCCTGCAGTGCCATCTATGCATGCGTCTGCTTGTGCAGCTCTTTCCAAGGGGCCCACAGGTGCCTCACCTTCAATTTCTCTGTCTCTTTTGTAGGTCAGCATGCCTCGGACAAGGGCACTGCCCAGCAGCAGCGTCAGCAGGCTGAGAGCCCCAATAGCAGCAGCATCGAGATACCCCCAAGCAGCAAGAGCCAACAGGTGCGGCGAAACAAAGGCTAGCTCAGTCCCCTCCAACTGCTCAGCAGCAGCACGCAGGGACTCACCCTGGGCCAAGCAACGCGCAACAGGCAGCACAGAAGCAGCAGCAATGAGGCTTCAACCAGCAGCAGCAGAGCGCCGGCAGCAGCAGCTCAGCAGCTCACCAGGTTAAGCCTCGATGGAGAGTCCGGCGAAGAAGCCAATGCAGACAAGGCGCGGCTAACCTCTACGTGCAGCCAGTGTGACGGCGGAAGGCAGTACAGCACACCGCCAACTGCAGCAGCAGCAGCAGGGGAAAGCAGCGTAGCATATCACCAGAAAGCCGCCGGTTGCAGAAGTCCGCCTGGCGGCGAACTTGAACAGCTACAGCGGCAAATAGCTAAAGCCGCTAGCCAGCTAGCCAGACAGTTGGCTAGCCATGAAGTCGCTTGCTTCGCTAGCTAGTGTCTGAGCGGCCTAGCTAAGCCCCCGCTAAGGAGCGCCGCTCACCTGCTGCCACGAGAGCCAGGGTGGCATGAAAAAAGAAATTGATGCAGAAGCTGCAGCGAGACCTAACTGAGGCTTCTGAGCCTTTGCAGCTGCGTTTTCCTCCTGCTGCTGTTGCTGCTGCTGATGCTGTTGAGGGGCAGACCACTGGACCCGTGGGCGTCGCCTCCGGAGAGCACGCCGAGGTACTGCGTGCCTCTGCTCCTGACAGCGGGTCGGCTGCAGACGACGGCATTTGGGTTTCAAAGTGCTTCATGGTGAGGCTGCTGCTGCTGCAGGGCTGCTGGGTGTGGCTGGGGCCGCTGCTCTAGCTGCTGGCGCTGCTGCCGGCAGAGGAGTCAGGGCGAGCCTCAAGAAGACAGAGCGACTCCTGAGGAGAGAAAATGCAGAATGGGAAGCGGCAACGGCCGCCAGCAGCAGATGCAGCAGCAGCAGCAACAGCAACAGGAGCAGCAACAGTCTCCGTCAGTCGGCAAAAGGAGACGCCGCCGCTGTAGCGTCTCTGTGGTGAGCACGGCGGGAAAAACAGCAGCCAAAGTGATAAACTGTGCTAAGACACCTGCTGCCGCCGCCGCAGCAGCAGTAGTTGCAGCGCCGGGTGTTGCTGCTGCTGAGTCTGTGGCCGCCTACGGCAGGACACAGAGCCAGAGAACGGGCTGCTGAGGCCCTCCTGTACTGTTCGTCTTTGACAGCGTAAAATGCCTTGAATTCAAAACGATTTACTCTCGGAGAAACATAAAAAGTCAAGGAAAAAAACAGGAGACCTTCAAGTCTAACCCAACACCGACCCGACCAACACTCAGCCCCACTCCGCACCACAACTCCCCCCGAAGCAGCTGCTGCGGCAGCATCTTGAACTGCTGTTGCTGCTGTTACAGTTGCTGTAGGAGTAGCACCAGGCGTAGGAAAGAAATAAGAGCTGGGGCTGCGGCCACCAACCACCAGGCGGCTGGCTTTTCGCTGCAGTTCAGAGGGCCCCGGCCAGAAAGCATTTCATCTTGAGGCGTTGCTGCCCTTTTGTCTTGACTTACAAAACCACGTAGCGCGTCTCAGTCTCTCTTTTGCACGGCGCTGCATTCAGTGTTCGTCAGCCAGGGCGCAGACAGAAGCAGACACGGAGGCGCAAGAGCCAAAATACTCACAGCAATCACTCAAAGCCGCAGCAGTACAAGCAGCCAGAAGCAGCAAACAGCAGTCATATGGCACTTTCCTAAATCAGTGCGCACCTGGTACTCCGTCAGCACAGGGGAACATTTAGATGGGCTTGCATTCAGCCGTAGCAAGCTGCTGTAGCTAGCTGTTGTTTGGCTGCCTCCGCTGGAGGCTTTAGCTAGCTGAGTAGGCCGCTCGCTTAGAGAGCTTCAGTGGCTGGAGGCGGTGAGAGCGCGCCATAAAGGTCCCATAACAAAGGTTTCAGAGGATGCTTAAATGGATGCACACGTGCACGCATACCTGCGCGTGAAGGCACTCCACGCCATATGTAACTACTTGCATTAGGGAGCCGAAAGCCCCGCAATACAACTAATGCTGCGTATTGATTCGTTTGCCCCTGAGCGCTTCAATCCATGGCTCTGGGACAGAAAGAGGGGTATCCGTACATAAGCGGCTAATGCAAAAAGAAAGACAATAAAGAAGATTTCTATGTGTTGCAGGGACAGTCCCATACAGGCAAACAGAGGTAATCAAACAGAACGGAAAGTGCTGGCGATGAGGTGCTCTCAGGCAAGCAAGCAAACAAGCACTTGAACATTAGATAAGCGGAGGAAGAAAAATGTTAGCAGCGGGAAAAACTTACCTCAGATGGCAAAGCAAGGACAGGACTCTCAGACTCTCAACTCTGGTCACAAAAGCACCCTAGCAACGAAAGCCTAAAGGCACCCTGAGGTCTTTTGTACGTCAAATAAATGCTTAGGATGTCAAGCCGTAGAAGGGCAACCATATACCCTGGTAGCAAACCTTAACAGCGTCTCACTATCTGCCACTCATAGCAAACAGCATTCTTGCAAACCATACTTGCACGTAACAACCGTGTAAATGATGGAAAAGGAAAGTGTAAAGGTAAACGCCGGACAGACAGACAGGCAAAGGGCGTAAGAGACAAAGAATGTGGAAGATGAAAAATCTGTCCGCCAGCCGGACAGGAACTACTACATTTCGTGAATAGAAGTACAGTTCAGACGCAGATAACTCTGGCAACCAAAACTCAGTAACAAAGGTGAATCGCGCCGGTGGGGTTGCTCAGTAGCTAGCAGAAGAGGAGATGCTGCAATCGGGAATCTCCTGCTGCTAGTGCTGCTGTGATTTGAGCACCTTCCACGTATCAAACTAAAAAGAACTCGTAAGTGTGTCTAGAGATGTTAGCTTGTGCTTGTCTGCGCATAGTCGCCATGTCCAGCTATGAAGGCCTATTAGTAAGCAAGCACGTAGGTGCTCAATTTTGCGTATCTAGGTTTATTCTATATACTCGCTATATCGTCAAAATTTGAAAATCTCATCTCGGTTTCAGTTTGCGCCTGTTACATGCGGCCTAAAACTGGAATGGGGCAAACGGGAAACGGGAAATATCCAAGCCCCACGGACTCTATCACTTCCTTAAGTCCGTTACTACAGCAGTAGCAGCTGCTGAAGCAGCGGCGATTGGTGTGGATGGCCCAGCTGCAGCATCTCCTGAAGCTGCTGCCGCTACAGCCACTGTTTCATATCTCGCATAGCCCCAACGCGGCGGTGCAGCAGGTCCCAGCCCTCCTCTTGTAGGATCCGCTGCCGGTGGCTGTGCCGCCGCCGCGCAACAGATTCCTCAGGCTCAGCGGGTGCAGCAGCATCATTAGGAGGTACTCCTGCCTCCTTGGGCGTCTTCTCAGGAGCAGCGGCAGCTGCTGCTGCTGCCTTAGCCTTTGCTCTAGCCCGAGCTGCTGCTCGACCAAGCAGCAACTCGCCTGGCCTGTTGGTCAGCCGCTGTAGGGAGTTCTCGAGGTCCTTGGGACTGACACTTACTGTGTCTTCATCGGCTTCTGCTGCGGCTGCTTCTCCTTGCTGGAGATCTTCAGGCGCGCGGCCACGCCTGCAGAGTCACACCTATACGTCGCAATTGGCTGTTTGTGCTGCTGAGGTGCCTGAGCGAAAAACCCAATAAGGCAAAGCAGCTCTGCAGCAGCAAAATAGCTGCAAAGCTTTACCTGTCCGTCGAAGCAGCTCGCTGCAGTAGCACAGCATATCGCCTTTCTGGGGGCCCCGCCTGCATAAGACAATTGACTGCCTCCTTCAGGTCGGGAGGAGAGAAGACACTAGTTAGACGCAGAACTCGACGGCTCGTCGCATTCAGCAGCGTCTCAGACTCCAAAGAGGCAGCCTTTGCATTCCGCTGCAGCAGAAGCAACAGCAGCGGCAGGAGTCCCTACGTCGATTGTTGCGAAAAACACCAGGAGTTAGTAGTAGATACACCAGCAGCAGCTGTCATGGCAACAGCAGCACCCGCAGCAGGGGTGCCAATTGTTGCAGCAGGAGTGCCAACTGCGGTAGCGAAACAATCGCAAGAGTAGCACCCGGGTGCTACACAATGGGAACAGGAGATAGCTAAATTAATAGACGAACCAAAAACCGAGAAAGACGCGACAGATCCTGTGGCTCCATCACATCTAGGTGCCTGTGCAGTAGACGAGCCAGCACATCAAACGTATCCGCCGAAAGCTGCTGCCGCCGTAGCAGTATCTGCAGCAAAACGAAACAGACGAAAAAACTGAGAAACGGGACTCCGGCAGCGGAAGAGCTGCGCTCAAGCAGCGAGGCATGAATGCTCGTGAAGCAGCGAAAGTAACAGCAGTGAAGCCAGAAACACCGGCAGCAGCAGCACGAAGGCTTACCTCAGCCAGCAAGGGAACATCACTCAGGCCTCCAGGTGTGTCTTGCAGGCTCATGATTCTCTCTGTCAGGCCCTAAGGAAACAATACACTGCCAAGCAAGAGCACATAGACGCATTCGGCAACAGCAGCAGCAGACAACGGAAGGTAGCTGAAGCTCCGTACACAGTAGCAGCAAATGCGGCAAAGACCCACTTTGAAAACCGCGTCCTTGATGGTACGACGGACACAGGCAGTAGAAGCAAAGGCAGCAGCTGATACAACCTGGGCAAGCACAGCCCGCAGCAGAAATCAGCTAAGGGAAACTGACCAGAGGAACCGCCTGGTTTCAACTAGTGCTATTTGAGGCTCTTTTACTTATTGGCACCAACAGGCACGGAGAATTACACAAAAACGGGCCAGTCACCGCACAAAAGCGAAATGCTAGGTGGATAAAACAAAGACGCAAACATGAGACAGTGCACCGATTAGAAAATGAAAAGAACATAGATAAAAGAGACGGAACATAGTTCCAAGGGCGGGCATATGCCGACGGTGTAGCCTCACCTCCTCCAGCTCTAACACAGGACACATGTCCCTCAGCACCAACAGGAAGTCCTTGTGCTTCTGCAAGAGACACAAACCAAAAGCCGAGCTTGTTACATAAGCACTTTGTACTCTCTATTATCTGTCTACTGATGTATCTTGCTTCTACAGCAAAGAAAACAGAGCGACAGATACAAGAGGAATAACGGCGAAAGGCAGAAACTGTAGAAGGGAAGCTCACCTCCCTTATGTGCGGCAAACAAGGGGGAAGCTGCTCAGCAGTGCACCGGCCCACCAACGCCAAGCTGTAGCAGCAGCAGCAGCAGCAGGAGCAGCAACAGTATCAGAAGATGAAAACGGCGCGACTTCGCTAAGACGCCAAGTCCAGGAAAGATGGAATAACAAAGGGTAACACAGAAGAAAAGTGAACAGGACTGACGTGACAAGCAAGTAATCAAGACGAACAGAGCCGACGCCAAGGGCAAAGAATAGTAGCGATGGCGGTGTACACTCAAATTGAAAAGACATGAGGAACAGGCACGAAACGAAATAGCCTACCTTGCGGGGCAGCAATCATGTAAATGTGTGTGCATGTGATCCAGGACAGCCAGCAGCAAGGCTTTCTCGTTGGCTTTCAGCTGCCTGAGGCTTTCTAAGGCTCGACCAAGCAAGGCTGGAGACGCCAAGGAGAAACCACGGTCAGCTGCGCACATAATGCAGCAGCAGCAGCAGCAGGCAGCTGCAGCAACAGGCTACTGCAGCAGCAGCCGGCGAAGCGACAGGCGAAGCAGGGGGCCACAGACACCCCCAGAAGCACACAAGAGGACGGTCACACAGAGCGCGATAGGACAAAAGCGGAGTCACAAAAAAGACA